AGAGAGAAGATGAGAGAAAATCCCAAGTAGGCTCCTGGCTGTCAGCAAAGGGCCTGCTGTGATGCTTGATCCCACGAACCCTGGTACCCTACTCGAGCTGAAATCAAGAGCCGAGTGTTCAACCAACTGAGCCACCTAGGTGCCCCGCGATTGTTAATTTTATTGTATCTTTGAAAAAAGGCAGAACAGATATTATCAGGCCTGTTTTGTACATTGCAGAAACTACACAACAAAGGACTCCATCAACTTTTTGAATCACTTGTTTCGTGAATGTCAGAAGCAACATTAGCACAGAGACTTGGCCCTGTAGTTTATCGTTAGGCTATTTGTTCTTGTGGAAACATATGAGATCTCCAGATGAAAAAGCACATTAATTAATAAAGTCCATAATGTTCTTCTAGTGTTTACAGTGAACCAGGGTCCCAGGAAACAAGGCAGACACAAGAGCTTTTAGAGCCTCTACCTGTCCCGAAGGGTCTTCCACGCTGGTGAAGGGACAGGACAAGCTACTTGAAAACCAGTGTTAGTTTCTGAATAATTATTCTTTAATGAAAATAAGAATGCACTGCTGGAGGAGCAGTGCGTGTGAAAATTCAGGGGTGTTAAGAATCCCTGTGGGTATGGATAAGTGTCACAGCCAATGGTAGGAAGTAAGTTTTGGCTGGGACTTTGAGACTAGAGATAGACAGAAGGAGAGAGAAGAGGGACCAGGCGAACAAAGATGCAAATGTAAACAGGAACATAACACACTGGAGAACAGACCGGGTGAAATGGAAGGTGTAGTTTGGGGGAAGCGGCAAACATATTTGGAGAGAAGGATCAGGGTCTGATAGTACAGGAGCTCTGAGGCCCAGCAAGCTGCTCTGTGCCTTCACCTGTAGGCACAGGGGAGCTTTTGAGGATTTTTACACAGCAGTACTGTCGCAGCAGAATAAATCTGAAGAGTGTATGGTATGAATTGAAGAAGGAGAGAAGAGGATTAGATCAGGCAGAGGAGATGAAATAAAATGAAATATATAACATGCGCTAGTCCTGGTATTATTCTTATGATCACCAGACACAGTAATTCAAATAAGAACAAATGAGATCTGGGCCTGGGGTGATGGTTACAAAAAGAGAAATCAATAATGAGAAAATGCGAGGAGCAAGAATCAATGTGATATGGGGACTAGTTGGAAACTAGTCCTTTATCTTCACAATTTTCAGGATATATTCTTTGTGTTCAGGTAAAGCATACACATTTAGCCTCTATATTTTCTTTTACTTATTTATTATTTTTAAATTATACTTTATTATTAATAATGTCACTGGAATAGATCCTCTCCATCAGAGATGAGACATTTATATGGCGTGACCCAAAATATTTTGGGGACAAGTGACTCAGAGTTCAGCCTCTATGGTCTCATGGTGATTTTAATGAAGCCAGACTTCCAAGCAATAAACAAAGGATTATTATTTCACTACAGAATCAGGAGATGGAGGGATATAAAACACAAGTCTATTTTAAAGACACCGTTTGAGCAGATAAGCATAAATTAAGTTTGAAGGCTTTTAAAACTCTCAGAAATGTTTTCTGGCTGAACGGAACACTACATCGGTCATATTTTACCACTCTTGACACATCACTATGCCATCTTAGCAGGGGGTTAAGGAAGAAAAAATGAGGTGAGAATAGAGGAAGAAGGGGTGTTGGGAAAAGCAAAGTGTTTTCCTACAATCACTGGAAGCTCACCTGCGAGTTATTCATTATAACATTAATCATTCATTCATTCATGCAAGCCATTTATTTCCAGCAGCTGTTGCTTTTCAGGGATTATGTTCTACATGTAAGAGACAAAGGGACCGTTAAACCATGTATGTGTCCTTAAGAAGCCTAGTCTATGGGTAAGATAGATTAGTTTTACCTACACTTGAGAAGTGCTGTAAATATTGTATGCACACAGGCTTTGGAGCTAAAGTAGAGGGGGGCTGAGGAGATGAAGCTGAATGAGGGGGGCTAGAGGAAAAAGGAGAAGGGAGTACAGGGAGCTTGGCATGGCTTCTAGAAGGAAGTGACATTTGAATTCCCCTCTCCAGATGCACTTCCTACTCCCCACTCCCTCTCCTCACCTTGGACCCACCTCCCTAAGTAATCCTGCCACAACCACCTCTTCTCTTGCTACCTTTCACATGGAGAGCTCAAATTGGCCTCTCTGAAGGGGCTTGGAAGCTAAGGCAAGAAAGGAATGTATGTGGGAACCTAACAGTGGGCACTCGAGAGCCAGAAGGGAAGTGTCTTAGAGGCCAAAAGAAGAAAAGGTTTTAGAAGGAAGTAGACATTGGTGCTCGATGAGAAAAGAAATGAAATATGTGCGTTGGACTTGGTGTTCAGACCACTGATAAATTTATAAGTGTGCAAATAACAAGGATTAAAGTTTGAAAAAGATCAATGAGGCAACAAATACACTCCACTCTATTAATAAGACACTCTTCTGAGAAAGGAAGGAGAGACAGCAACCAGAGAAGGAATTGGATTAAAGAAGCTTCTTTGATACAAGAGAATCTATGCTGAAGGGGCAGCATTATCAAAGAGGACACAGTGGCAAACGGAGAAGGAAAATTGATGGAGTGAGCTATCAGGGATGGGAGTGACTGACCAAGCCCTTGTGGACAGAAGAGCTTTCCCCTCCTCTGAGGTGGGAAGAAAGTGGGCAGCGACAGGTGGGGATGAGGGGAAGTTTGTAGACCAGATGGCAGGGAATCTCTCTGACACTGATTACACACTTACTCTGCTAGAGTCCCCACATGGACCATAAAGATGAGTAAGACACCATCCCTGCACCCTCCCTTCTCAAACATTCACTTCATTTAAATGAATAAAGGCATAGTTAACCTTATGCTGCTTGAAATCCAAACATGCCCAGCAGCAGTGGCCGACAAAAGGCAGGATTCTGGCAATAGGTACTTCCTGGAGGATTTCACCACTGGCCTGGCTTAGAATTGGCAGCACATGATAATAAAAGTTAATGTGACTTTCAGGTAGTTTTATTATCATCTTTAAATCATCTGTAGAAAATGACCACCTTATTGCTTTCACCAGAGCGGATCTCTTCTGCCACTGGGCCCACCACCAATACTCAGATACCGGCTTTGAGGTTTCACTTTGAAGCAAATCAATGCATAAAACTAATTTGAGTGACAGAAGCAAAAGAGCCTGAAGGAAGCAAAAAGTCAAGTGCAACCCCTTCATATTACAGATGAAGACAGTAAGGCCCAGATAGATTAATTACGTACATGAAGCCCCTCAATCCAGCAATGGGCAGAGCTGGTTCTGGAATCCAGTTCTGATGTCCTGGTTAGTCTCAAGGAGAACATTCCATCTTGTCTACAGCTGTGTTGTGGTACCCAACTAAGAAAATGGCACCTGGAGACTCACAGGGATCCGTCAGGAAACCAATGAGTATGTGAGGGGATGAGGAAGGAAGGAAGACTTGATTGCTCTCTGTTTTTCTTTTGTTATGGAGTTGAAGTGTTTTCCCTTTATAGGACTTTAGAGATAACTGCAACAAATCCCTTTCTTTTTACTTCATTCATTGTTTTGACAATATTTCAAACAGTTTGAATGACCACTTTGGTCTTCTGAAGTTGTTATATTTTCTGAAGGGATGTGGTGTGTGTGTGTGTGTGTGTGTGTGTGTGTGTGTGTGTGTGTGTGTGTTATGGGAAATATATTTAAAGATGTGATCTGAAAACCTAAGGCAACAAAAAGGACAGTGATAGAAAATATAGGAAAATAAGAGGAGAATGAATCAAGGGAGTTGTACCTTTAAAGCCTCTCAGTTCCCTCACTACCTTCACATGCAGTGTTGGATATAATATCAAACATTTTGTTTTGAGAGAGAGAGAGAGAGAGACAGAGAGAGAGAGAGAGAGAGAAATAGAGAGGGAGTGAATGGGGGAGAAGGGGAGAGGGATAGAGAGAAAAAGAAAGAGAATCCTAAGTAGGCTCTTATACTCACCATGGAGCCCAATGCAGGCTCGATCCCACAACCCGGGGATCATAACCGGAGCCAAAATCGTGTCATGTGCTTAGCCAATGGAGCCACCCAAGTGCCCCATTCATATTTTAAATATAAACATGCAGGCTCTTATTTTAAGGAATAACATGGGAAAGCTTTACTTAATGTTTTTGGGGAAGTAAAGAATTAGCTCCTTTATGGGCCTTAGGCATCCTGGTTTTCATATGTTGGCTTTGCTTTATGTGAAAATGTGTCAATATAAGTACATCACAAAGGCAGGTAAGGCAAAAAAAATCAATGTCATGGAATTTGAAATTTACTGTTTGCTCAGAAGAAACAGTGAGAAAACTTTATAAAAAATGATTTTTGGGGTGCCTGGGTGGTTCAGTTGGTTAAGCATCCAGCTCTTGATTTTGTCCCAGGTCATGATCTCACAGTTTGTGAGTTCAAGGTGTGCATCAGGCTTTGTGCTGATGGTGTGGAGCCTGCTTGGAATTCTCTCTCTCTCTCTCTCTCTCTCTCCCTTTCTCTCTGACCCTTCCTTGCTTACACCTTCTCAAAATAAATAAATAAATGAAACTTTAAAAAAATTGAGTTGTGACAATGATTCTTCCCACTTTACTTCAAACAATGTGGACTTTGATAGGAAATACCTTAAGTTTATTCCTAGTCCTTCTATCTTCCAAAGTTTTGGTGACAATTAAAGGAGATAGTGTTATGTTACATCAGCAGCCCTCAAAAGGTACTCAGTAAATGATTATAGAAGCTGTTGTTTTGTTGAAGATAACCTTGGATTGAGTCTCCACTAGCTAAATGGAATCTGATGTAACTAAAATATTTTTGTAACATAGATTCTTTGTAACATAGTAAGATTGTGATGAGCAATTTTAAATCCAATATGGCAATCTCTCTGGTTCTATCATTTTTAATTGGTGAATAATCTTTAAAAAAAACAACAACAACAAAAGGAAGCTGTAGGGGGTTATATGGAAAAGCTCTTACCTCTCCTGAAGTCCTATGGGCTTCATTTTGAAAGGAGAAGGGCAAACAGCGGTGGTAGCTTTGATCTCAGGAGTGTATCGGCCTTGAGGGTCCACAACCACATTCAGCACCTTTGGGGCTTGCTCGGGCTGGACCATGCTGTTGACTGCCTTTGCCTCAGACTGTGTTGGCGGTAACGTGATGGGTGAGAGGTGGATCTCCTGATTTTTCTCTTTATCTTGTCGCAAGGAAAACTGAAACTTTTCTTTTAATCTGTAAAGAATCTATAGAGGGAGATATAAAGTCTTGCTGTCATATTTTTTCACACTAAACAACGAAATATAATCTCTTCCAACCCAACCAAGAAGACAAACTAAAATGAAGGTTCAATGATAATACAACTAATCAAAGACTTCCAGAATGATTTCTCAGTTTAAGTATATTGAGATTTTTTCCCCAAAAAGGATATAACTGCTATTTCCAGTTGTTAAACAACTGTGTTAATGGATCTATTCTTCAAATACATATTCAAAAGAAAATTTGGATAATTTTATAAAAGTGCCAGATGTCAGTTGGATCACATGCAAATCTTGACTCAAAATGACTGAAATGGAAGGCTGATAGCATAGCCATGAGATATGGGCTGATGACATTTACAGAAACAGAGGTCTGCATCCAGTACAACGTGGGAGAAGAAAAGCTTGTAAAATATTAATGAAAAAATGGTTATGTTATCAATCATAATTTCTTATCTTATAAATATCTACACTAGCCATGTATTAACTTGAATATCTGGTAACTTCTTAAAAATTTAAATGTAGGGCACTTACCAAAGAGTAATTTGGACAATCAGAATTTCATTTCTTACCTTTCCCCTTTTTAACTTTTTTTTAAATTTAATGTTTATTTATTTTTAAGAGAGAGAGAGATGCAGAGTGCAAGTGGGGAGGGGCATAGAGATAGACACACACAGAATCTGAAGCAGGCTCCAGGCTCTGAGCTGTCAGCACAGAGCCTGACTTGGCTCGAACTTGAGAACCGTGAGATCATGACCTGAGCAGAAGGTGGGTGCTTAACCGACTGAGCCACCCAGACGTCCCTCTCCCTTTTAATTTTTAAAGCATGTAGGTAAAAGCAAACATATTACTTTCCTCCATTCTCAGAACCCTTTCTAGCATTCTAGAAATGCTAGAAATGCTAATTCACTTCAGAAACGTCAGGATTGTCATTTTCAAACTTTTAAAGGAATTGGGCTGATTTAGCTGGGACCCTCCATGGACTGAATTGCGAGAGAGTAGAATTTGTCTTTTGCATCCTCAGGCTTCTCTTTTAGTAAGTTTTACTTTTTTTGTTTAATTTAATTTTTTTATTTTTAATTTATTATTTAATTCTATTTTATAGAGAGGGAGACAGTGTGTAAGCAAGGGATGGGGCAGAGGGAGAGAATCTTTTTTTTTTTAAGTGTTTATTTATTTATTTTGAGAGAGAGAAAGCTCAAGTTGGGGAAGGGCAGAAAGCAAGATTGAGAGAGTCCCAAGCAGGCTCCAAGCTGTAAGCTCAGACTTACAGAGCTGAAATCTAAAGTCAGACACTCAACTGACTGAGCCACCCAGGCACCACTATTTAAGTTTTTTTTAAAGATTATTTTATCTTTTCTAGTTTTATTGAGATGTAATGGACATATAACATTGTATAGTTTCAGGCATACAATATAATGATTTGATATTTTTTCTTCTCTTGATGCTGACTCTTCTACTCCAATTCCCACAGAAACTAGATGCCCTTGGGGTGCCTGGGTGACTCAGTTGGTTAAGTGGCAAGCTCTTGGTTTCAGTTCAGGTAATGATCTCATGGTTCATTGTGTTGGACTCTGCACTGACAGTGCAGAGCCTGCTTGGGATTCTCCCCTTCTCTCTCTCTGCTCCTCCTCTGCTCTCTCTCTCTCAAAATAAATAAACTTAAAAAAAAAAAAAGAAACTAGATGCCTTGTATTTCTTCAAGTATGTTCTCAGGAAGTGACTTGATAAGTTAATGCACATTAAGAGGTGACTTAACCCATTGAATGTAATTACAGTACTGATAATGTCTGTATTTTAAAAAGTTTTAGGCCAACTGAACTCCCTTGTTTAATATCTGAAATCCATTAGCTGAATGAGCGATATTTTAGGGGAGAGGGCTTTCTTGGCACTATTCAATCACATTCACTCTAGTTCTAAGGCTAAGTTTTTCTTTCCCTTTCTTTCAAATTTCCTTTAAATTCTAGCCATTTCTATATTTGAAATCTACTGGAAAGATACAGAATCTATCTATCTATCTATATTTTGTTAAAGAATTAATAAACAGAAAAATTAATTAAGAAAGAAATAATCTGAAATTATGGAGAAGATAAATACCTTTGAGTATGTATTTCAGGAAAATTTTAGAAAGTATTTGTCTAGTGTTCTCAAAATACGTTGGTAACACTTCTGGGTAATTACCTGAGGAAAATGAAAACACTAATTCGAAAAGACATATACATCCCTATGTTTATTGCAGCATTACTTACAATAGCCACGATATGGAAGCAACCTCAGTGTCCATCTATAGATGGACAAAGAAGATGACATATATACACAGTGAAATATCACTCAATCATAATGTTTTTTTAAAATTTTTATTTCTGAGAGAGAGAGAGCATGAGCAGGGGAGGGTCAGAGAAAGAGGGAAATACAGAATCTGAAACAGGCTCCAGGCTCTGAGCTAGCTGTCAGCATAGAGCCCGACGCGGGGCTCGAACCCACAAACCATGAGATAATGACCTGAGCCAAAGTCGGACGCTTAACCAGCTGAGTTACCCAGGAGCCCCTCAGCCATAAAAAAGAATAAAAGCTTGTTGTTTGCAATAACATGGATGAATCTAGCGTGTATTATGCTAAGTGAAATAAATCAGAGAAAGACAAATACCATACAATTTCAATTATACGGGGAATCTAAAAAACAAAACCAGGGGCGCCTGGGTGGCTTAGTCGGTTAAGCATCCGACTTTCGCTTAGGTCATGATCTCGCGGTTCGTGGGTTGGAGCCCCGCGTCGGGCTCTGTGCTGACTGCCAGCTCAGAGCCTGGTGCTTGTTTCAGTCTGTGACTCCCTGTCTCTCTGACCCTCCCCTGCTCACGCTGTCTCTCTCTCTCTCTCCCTCCTAGAAATAAATAAAACATTTAAAAAAATAAAAATAAAAAACAAAACCAATGAATAAAGAAAGAAACAGAAGCAGACTCATAAATACAGAGAAACGTGAAGAGGATTAAGAGGTACCAGCTTCCATTTACAAAATAAGAGGTTACAGAAGCATAGGCAATACAGTCAATAACATTGTATGGTGACAGTGGTGATTATGCCTATCCTGATGAGCACAGAGTAATGTATAGAACGGTTGAATCACTATGTTGTACACCTGAAACTAATACACATTGTATGTCAACTTTACTACAATAATAAAAATAGAACATGGTTAAGATGGGCAAAAAATATTTTGTTACTCTTTTTAACAAAATAAGATAAATAATCAAAATGAAGCAAAAACACAACAATGTAAGGTGACAGGTATCAGACGGAGATGAAGAAGAAAAGAATTTAAAAAGTTGAAAACTCGGGAGCAGGATGAAAATCTTTCTTTTTTTAATATAATTTTCTAAACCTTTATTAGAGTGTGAGCAGGGGAGGGACAGAGAGAGAGGGAGACACGGAATCCGAAGCAGGTTCCAGGCCCTGAGCTGTCAGCACAGAGCCCAACATGGGGCTTGAACTCATGAACCGTGAGGTCATGACCTGAGCTGAAGTCAGATGCTCAACCAACTGAGCCACCCAGGAGCCCCAGGATGGAAGTCTTTTAAGCAGTAAATAATGGAAACGACAATGCAGAAAACATAGCCAGCAGCATATGTGTCAAAGTTAGGAGATTGTCTGGAATATATAGCAAAGAGATAAAGAGAAGAAGATGAAAACAAGAGAAACCTTGGAATAGGGAAATCAGAGAAAAGTCTCTGTGAATGATAATCTAGACTAAGTGAAAGAGCAGCGAATCATTCAGAACTATTTTTCAGTGCCCACATATCATCACATATTGTGAGAGCTATCAAGGATTCTGCTATGAACAAAATAAGCTATATCCTGTTGTCATGGAGTTAGGGATATGGAATGAAAAAAGTTCTCAGTCAAAAAAACATGTCAGTTGAAAGAAGAATAAATGTGAAGAGAAAATGGAACAGTTTTTATGACTGAGAGAAAAATACATTTACAAAAAAAATGCATGAATTCCACACCTCAATAAATTGAAGTTCATGTGAATGAAGCCAACAGAGTGTCTCAAATATATCAGGTCTCAGGAAATATACTACCTGTGTACATTTCCTGGAAAAAGTTCACTCAAAGTCATGAGGAAGAGGACTCAAAATTAAGAACTGAATAACTATAAATTGTGATATAAAGGGGAGTTTGGAATTAAGTAAAAATGAGTGAAAATGAAATTTAATTATGTCTCAGGTCCAACATCTCAGATTATAACAAGAGAGAAGTTTGGGCAGAGAGGTAAGAAATAGGAGTGATTATACATTAAGTAACTCTTATTTTTATTTATTTATTTGTTTGCTTGTTTGTTTTATTCTCACATTAGATAACATACCCTATAGTCTGGGCTTCAGGAGCAGAATCCAGTGATTTATCACTTACATATGACACCCAGTGCTCATCTCAACAAGTGCCCACCTTAATGCCCATCACCCATTTTCCATCCCCTCCTCCCACCCCCATTAACCCTCAGTTTGTTCTCTGTATATTTAAGAGTCTTTTATGGTTTGCCTCTCTCTCTCTCTCTCTGTCTTTTTTTAAATCTTATTTTTCCTTTCCTTCCCTTATGATCATCTGTTAAGTTTCTCAATCCCACATATGAGTGAAATCTTCTGATACCTGTCTTTCTTTGACTGACCTATTTCACTTTGCATGATACCTTCCAGTTCAGTCCATGTTGTTGCAAATGGCAAGATTTCATTCTTTTTAATTGCTGAGTAGTATTCCATTGTGTTTGTGTATATTCATCAGTTGATGGACATTTGGGCTCTTTCCATAATTTGGCTATCATTGATAGTGCTGCTATAAACATTGGGGTGCATGTGCCCCCTAAGTGACTTTTAAATTAGGGATACAGAAAGAATTGGAGTTAGAATGGTCACTATAGGTCCTTCTGACTTAATTATACATTGAAAAAATTACAGTCCAGTTGAATCATGTGGATTGCCCAAAGTCAGCAG